GCTTGGCATCATAGTCATCAAGATTGACACACAAAAGATTTGCTTACCAAATAAACAAACGTAGATTCCAAACACCAGGGCGTAGAATCCGGACATCAAACCAAGAGAATCGAGAATCTGTAAAGTAAAATGCAAACAGATGTGAATAATGTTCTGAGCTATAAGAACATGATTGAGTTTAAAAAGACTTACAGTTCGCGTTCTTTTTGTACGGTTTGAGATGAAAGGAAAGAGTGAGTACGTGAGTTTATACGAGACGTTTACTATATACAATTCATTCAACTAACCTGCTCTCCACGATCTCTTCCGTGAACCAATCGAACGTGCCAACAAATAAATGCCCATATAATGGAGAGTTTGGTTGGAGCGTGCTGGCACTAAATGTGCTGATCGGATCAGCAACCGCTTCTACAAAAAGAGAATCGATTAAGTGTTCATTCGATCGTCCTATCCATTATCACGTGGTTTGACAACATACCATACAGCGTACGAATAAATGGTTGCTTGCGATATATGGGCGGAATGCCCAACCAATTTGCAAATGAAGATTTCATCTTCTTTTTTATTTTCCTCGACATAAACATCCAATTGTTTTGTTTGTAACCGATTATATGAGTGTTTCGGTTGTCGAGGTCGTCAAAGAAGTGAGGGTCTTCATGTTTGACCCTATCTATTGTTTTTGGATCCAACGTTCGAGGATCGAATTCTACAAGAGTCAAGTATACAAAATGAGAAAAAACCAAACACCTAATCGGTAATTATGTTGATCCAATTGTTGTTTATGTACCTGAGTCATACGCTCTCACTTGCATTCCAATGTCTTGCTGTACGTCATACGCGGTGTCGGCTAGGAAAATGCTAAACCATACTCCGTTACGTTTCTCGGCAATATTGTAATTGAGATTGTTGATTGCCGTGAAGTATGCGTGATATTTTCCATCGTCCAATGACTTGTTGCATGGTTGAGTGAGGTACTCTGCGCATAATTCCTCGCTTGAGTTGGTGTTTGGAATCTACGTTTGTTTATTTGGTAAGCAAATCTTTTGTGTGTCAATCTTGATGACTATGATGCCAAGC